CAAGAGATTACATCGAGATTTCATGTGTATAATATTCTATACCAAATTGTTCTATAAGATTTCATCGAGCTCATATGTGTATAATATTCTGTACCCAATTGTTTATAAGATTACATGGAGATTTCACATGTGAATGGTATTCTGTACCACATGCAATTTGCATGTTTTATAATTATTGTTTATAATTAGGAAATAAGTTAGTTGGTAAAAAAAAAAAAAGAAATTATGGTATAAACAATAATATATGAATGGTAATTTAAATAAAATTTTAAAAATTAAAGGTATTTTAATAATTAAAATATTAAATTTTTAATAAAATTATTTAAATATTTTTAATAAAGTAATATATATTATTAAAAATAATTAATTAATTTCACAAAAAAATTAATATTTTAAATATTAAAATATTTTAATTTTAATTTTTTTCAATTTAAATTATTTTAAATATTTTTTGTGGTAGACGAATATTTGGGAAAAAAGTGACTCCGAGCACCAAACCAATAATTGAGAAAGACTCCGCCTTCAACGATGGGAGCTGCACTAGGTAGAGGTTTCCTTGATAGGCGGGCTGGGCTTTGACTTTTACTCTTCCAAAAAGAAAACAAAGACAGAGTCATGAAATTGAAAAGTCTTTCCCCAATGAGGGTATAATTGAATGCCCTTTACTTCAAAGAAATTAAACAACTCTCTGCAGATGAAATCTAGAAAACTCCGATTTGATGCTTATTGCTGCGCAAACAATAATACAATCTCGTAATGGGGTTTCATGACCGGGGTTTTTTTCTTCTCCTCTGTGTGCTTACATTCATCAGTTTTGACATTGCTGAATCTGTTAACTGCTACAACACTGGGAACTTCTCCGTAAACAGTACGTATGGCAGGAACCGCGACCTCGCTCTCTCTTCTCTAGCCTCTAATACCTCAGAAAATGGTGGTTTCTATAGTACCACCGTTGGCGAGGATCCCAACAAGGTATATGTTCAAGCTCTTTGCCGGGGAGGCTACTTCACAAAGGATTGTTTTGGATGTATCAATTCAACAATCCAAGATCTCATCACCCAGTGTCCAAACCAAACAGAAGCAATTTCAATGGGAGACTGTATGGTACACTATGCAAACCGCTCCTTTTTCGGAATTCTTGAGCAATCTCCGAGTATTGTGCTCACTAACACTGGTAATCTCACCGTAGATTTGACACTGTTTGATCAGATTTGGGAGAGTTTAATAGATGTCTTAGCGACAAATGCTTCTGCGGGAACTTCTAGGCTTAAGTTAGCCACGGGAGAAAAAAAGTTAACATCATTCGAAACAATTTATGCCTTTCTGCAGTGCACTCCCGATTTATCTCAAAGTAATTGTGATTTCTGCCTGAGGCAATCTGCACTTAGCTACAAAGATTGCTGCCATGGGAAGCAATGAGGTGTTGTAGCAAAACCGAGCTGTTTTTTCCGGTGGGATTTGTATCCCTTCTATACCCCTCTTCCACCTCCACCTAGCAGTCCCCATCCGGTTTCTAGTAGTCCTCCTCCTGTTTCAAATTCAAATAATAACACAACCGCAACAGGTAAGTACATCTTTCCTTGGAGAAATGGATTTTATTCATATTGGGTGGAAACATTGGATAGATAATGATAGAGGGGATGACTTTTGAGGGACAAAAATGGGATTGTACCTACTTTGTGTGTAACATTAAAAGGATACCAAAAAAAAAAAAATCTTTATTTTATTAAAGATTTATTCTCAAGCATGCTAAGTATAAACATTTTTCTGGTTTTGCAGACAACAGCCGATTTGCTACAAAAACTATTATAATTGTTGTTGACTTGTTGTTGTTTCAACCATTGGATCCATGGCAATTCTTACCATTACTTGTTCCATTCCCCGAAGGAGATGGAAGTCAAAACAGGAAGTTACAGGTGAGAATTGTTTCCTAGGAACAAGAAGAAAGCATATTGTGATTAATTAGGTTATAGTTGTAGGCTTGGTAAAACAAAATGATAGTTAATGATTGATGAATAAAGTCATGGCCTCATGGGATTTGTTCATGTGTTAACTCACCTTTTTCCCCCATGAAGGTGAGGATGACAATGAAGGTGTGGATGACAGTATTAGTGCTGAGTCCTTGCGATTTGACTTGGGCACATTAAGGGTTGCCACTGATAACTTTTCCAGCGAGAACAATCTAGGGCAAGGTGGATTTGGTGTTGTTTACAAGGTAACTCCACCTATTCTGTTATGTGTTTACTTTCTGCGCCTATAGTTTATAACCTAAAACAGTTTTTC